TATTTTGAAAAAACAGATCAGTTACAGGGGGATCTCAATGCTTATCAGAAAATTCAAGAGCATAATAATATCAATGAAACAAAAGAAAATTAAATAACTCCATCAGATTGTTACCACTGAAGAAAAACCATTGGTGAAACTGAATAGAATACCACTCAAACACGGTCAAGTTTTTTGGCCTACACAAACCAGGCAAACCTATGCGCTCATTTTATCTGAATTAACAGGATGCCCCCAAATTATATATATATATATATATATATATATATATATATATATATATATATATATATATATATATATATATATAAATTTCCTTGGGGATGAAAACAGAGCATGATACTTTAATTAAATTTATTTTAATAATTATATTGAAGTTTTTGGCTCCTGTTTTTGAAACATGAGAACTCTTATGGAGCGAAGGAATCATATTTTAAAAATAATTATAATTTAGGCTCTACTTTGGTATTGAGCACTGTTTTTTTTAAATAAAACCAAAATACTAAAGAACTTTGGATTATTTACTTAACGTGTCCTTTTCTATTGTTCTATATATTTGCATACACAGACACGCATATATATATATATATATATATATATATATATATATATGTATATATATATATATATATATATATATATATATATATATATATATATATATATATATATATATATATATATATATATATATATATACAAATGGGGTGAACGGAAATTAACTCCCTTTTTTAAATACGATGGACTCTCTATTTTGTAAAAATTATAGTTAGACGGCTCATTCTACATAAAATAGTAAGTTACTTTTCAGTAACCAGATATATATATATATATATATATATGTGTGTGTGTGTGTGTGTGTGTGTGTGTGTGTACACGCTGTGGTAGGAAATACTTCCTAAATATACCTCCTAGAAGACATTAGTGGTTGTGATGTCTTCATTTAGCAAATGTCTTACCATTATGTAGGAATTATTTCTGGGATTATTTGTAGATGGTATTTTTACTCTATATAATATATATATATATATATATATATATATATATATATATATATATATATATAACTTTAAACATTATATTTAGTTTTTTTATATATTCTTAAATGACGTCTACTGGCTTGGGTATCTGAGAGTTTTATTAAATTCTTTTTCCGGTAATTCTCAAATTTACATGTCTCTTAAATGGGAAACTAATGCTCAACCATGAACGGCTTTCACAGCCATGCCTGGTTAAATTACTCTTTTAAGATATAAGAAATGCATCTTGTTCGGATCTGTCGAAGTTCTTATCTGTTAACGTTGTTTTCGTATCCAAAGTATGATATGTGTGAATGTCAGTGATAATGTTTACAAGAAACATTTAGGAATATGCCGATGGTTGTGCAGGTACAAGATGACCAAAGATTTGAGCCTACTGGCGCTGTTCAAACTGCTAATCATCCCAGATGTAACCGCGGCCTGCTCAGTAGCGTTGCAGTATAAACCGCAGGCGGGTTTTGTGGGTGTGTGTAGAACAAACATAAATATGCTTGAACAAGTGTCTGCAACAGGTATTGACCAGCTACCTTAGAAGACGGATGTGCTCGAAAAACAAGTCACCGGCCATTATGTATGTATGTATATATGCATGAAGAGAGCGGTTCAGAAGGGATCTCTGAATTGACATGAAGTGCCAACCTGGCCATGTGCCCAATGCAATCGGATATGTCTGTCCAGCGCAGGTCTGCTCAGTCACCAGAAATCACATCAACCCCAACAGTCTAGTGCATATGACGATTTCGTAATGCCCGCTTTGAATGTCCGACCAGCACTAGAGTGTGCAAGTCCAGGTTGGAGCTGACAAGGCATATAAAAAGACACATTGGAAGTGATGATGTTAAAAGTCAACTTCCACCACCCGGAGATGATTTGACATCCCATATATGTAACAAGAAATACAGATCGATGGCTGGCCTTATGAGCCACTGTTGTTCACACAACAAATGAATGCAGTATTGTGGAGGAGAGTTTAACTGAGAGATGGACATGACATTGATGGTCATACTAGCTTTGTGAGTCGACAGCCTCTACGCTATGTATATATGTAGGCTGTGGTTAGAACGTTCGTTTTCTGAGCATGAGACTCGGGTTCGAATCTCACCACGTTTTTTTTTTTTTTTTGTCAGGAAGGAGACTTCCTAATGTTATCGGTCTGGAGGGGGGCGATCCTAACATGCTGCACATTTGGAAAGTGACTGAAAAACCATACCTTGGGTTGACCCAAGGCGTGTGAGTGAAATTGGGTAGGCAGAACTCTTGGGGGCCGTCGATAGCTCTGCTAGCACGAATTCACAAGTCAACGTGACCGAGAGTTTCAATGTGATGGCCTTGTTCAGATTGTTGATCACGCTAGATAACACTCTCTCGCCTAGAAACTGTAACTAAGGTCTGTCCAGAATAGTTGCACGCCACACATGGGCTCTGCAGGTGTTGAACAAACTCAAATGTGCCTGAGCGAGCGTCAGCAATTGGGATTTGATTTGCTGCCCGAGCAGACCGGTATTCTCGTATACGAGTGGCCAGCTATTATCATTATTATTATTATTATTATTATTATTATTTTCAGTATTATTCGGTTCTACGTTTTATTTTATTTTATATTTTCATATTTTAATGATGATAGGTTTCCGGCAATTGTGGGGCATTTTTTTTTTGAAAAACAAGTCCCCAAAGACGCTGAAGCTGCTCGCATAATTCGGTGTGGTTGAAATAAATAAAATACCTGACCGTAATGCTCAAAACCAGTTTAAGCATTTTGAAGGGTGGTAAAAAAATTTCATGACAGGATAGTAAAAATCCCATATAGAAAAAATTACTTACGCCTCAAAATCTATCGTTTCAAATCAAATATCTAAACCATTCATTTAACACTAACAACTTTGGGAAAGGCATGAATACACTTATAATTATACTCGTCAATACAATGTTTGTACAACACCTCAGTGCTCCAAGGATCACTGTTACTATAATTATTTTAATTGTTAGTCATTCTCAAACATTTGTCCATCAGGATTATTATTATTATTATTATTATTATCATTTCTTTTGTTTTCTGTTGTATACTCATTTTATTCCGGGTCCCAACCAGAAATGGCATCATGGCATTTTCCGCAGAACATTTTTGTAAAAGAAAATCAAGGAACATAAAAACATACACATTTGACAAAGATAAAGCCTTTCGTAATGCGTGAGCTGTAGTTGTGATAACAATTTCTCTTGTATTTCTTTAAGGAAAGAATTAACAGAGATCCCTTCAATGAGTTTATCAGAACCTTTTCCAATCAAAGCCAAGGCACCAACTGGAACTGGAATTATTGATGTCTCCATATTACACATTTTTTTAGAATTATTATTATTATTATAGCATTATTATTATTATCATTATTATTGTCATTATCATTATTATTATTATTATTATTTTATTATCATTATTATCATTATTAATATTATTATTATTATTTTTATTATCATTATTATTAATATTATTATTATAGCATTATTATTATTATCATTATTATTATCATTATTATTTTATTATCATTATTATTATTATTATTTTTATTATCATTATTATTATTATTATAGCATTATTATTATTATTATCATTATTATTATTATTATTTTTATTATCATTATTATTATTATTATCATTATTATTATTATTATTATAGCATTATTATTATTATCATTATTATTATCATTATTATTTTTATTATCATTATTATTATTATTATTTTATTATCATTATTATTATTATCATTATTATTATTATTATAGCATTATTATTATCCTTATTATTATCATTATTTTTATTATGATTATTATTATTATTATTTTTTATCATTATTATTATTATTATTATTATAGCATTATTATTATCATTATTATTATCATTATCATTATTATTATTATTTTTATTATCATTATTATTATTATTACTATAGCATTATTATTATCATTATTATTATCATTATTATTTTTTATTATCATTATTATTATTATTATAGCATTATTATTTTTATCATTATTATTATCATTATTATTTTTATTATTATTATTTTTATTATCATTATTATTATTATTATTATAGCATTATTATTATTATCATTATTATTTTATTGTCATTATTATTATTATTATGATTTTTATCATTATTATTATTATTATTTTATTATCATTATTATTATTATTATTATTATTATAGCATTATTATTATCATTATTATTATCATTATCATTATTATTATTATTATTTTATTATCATTATTATTATTATTACTATAGCATTATTATTATCATTATTATTATCATTATTATTTTTATTATCATTATTAATATTATTATGATTTTTATTATCATTATTTTTATTTTATCATTATTATTATATTATTATTAGCATTATTATTATTATCATTATTATTATTATCATTATTATTTTATTATTATTATTTTATTTTTTATTATTATTATTATTATTATTATTATTATAGCATTATTATTATTATCATTATTATTATCATTTATTATTTTTATTATCATTATTATTATTATTATTTTATTATCATTATTATTATTATCATTATTATTATCATAGCATTATTATTATTATCATTATTATTATCATTATTATTTTTATTTTCATTATTATTATTATTATTGATTTTATTATCATTATTATTATTTTTATATCATTATTATTATTATTATTATAGCATTATTATTATTATTCATTATTATTATCATTATTATTTTTTATTATCATTATTATTATTATTATAGCATTATTATTATTATCATTATTATTTTTATTATCATTATTATTATTATTTTTATTATTATTATCATTATTATTATTATTATTTTTATTATTATTATTATTATTATTATTATTATTATAGCATTATTATCATTATTATTATTATCATTATTATTATTATTATTACTTCACAACAGAATCAGCTTACGGCAATATCGCGTGGAAACGTCGGTTCTCGTCCGATTACCGAAATTAAGCAACGTCGAGCCTGGTCAGTACCTAGATGGGTCATCTCCTGGTAATATCAAGTGCTGTAAATTTGTAAGTGCAGGTGGTGTAAAGGATAACGGTTCGCAATGGGAAATTGGAGAGCCGATTTCGAATTCCATTCGGGATCGTTCTATTCAATTACGCTCAAATACCCATGGGAAAGGAATGACTCTACCTATCCTGCAAGCTAAGAGTTAAATCGTAGGAGATGTATTTGAAAATCATTATCATCTCCCAATAAATGTTAATCTAATATAGAATATATAATAAAGTATTTATACAATCCAAAAATATATGCCACTTATGAATCCGTAAAAAACAAATCAATCAAATCATTCACAATCGAATCATCTGGAGGTCATCAGTTATTATTATTATTATTATTATCATCATTATTATTATTATCATTATTATTATTATTATAGCATTATTATTATTATCATTATTATTATTATTATCATTATTATTTTTATTATCATTATCATTATTTTTATCATTATTATTATCATTATTATTATTATTATTTTTATTATCATTATCATTGTCATCATCATCATCATTCGATTTCTGCACAGGACACACTACCTACTAAGTCTGCGGAAAGACCTAAGGCACATCGTGTGTGTTGTTGCGGCTACATTTCACTTTAATTTTTTTTTTTTTTTTTTTTTTTTTCCGATGAAGTTGCTAGCGTTACAAGACAAAGTTCTCCTTAGTGTGTGAAGAACTGTACTTAATAAGACAATTTTCTGTATGTCTCTTACTTGGGGTTTCAGGGATTCTTTCAATGTGTTGTTTTGTTCCATTTTTATAATTCCTTCATGCGAACCTATTACCATTACCAATTATTATTATGTTTTCAATTTCCACATTTTTTCTATTTTCAATTTCAGGTCTTTTGTATTTTGATCAAACTAAAATTTTTGGTTGTGTACAGAATCCGCTGGACAAGCCATATCAATTAGTAGGCAAGTTTTTCTTTCTTTTTGACAATAATGTCCGGCCTATTTGTTTCAATTTTTCTGTCTGTGTGGATGGTATTTATTATTATTATTATTATTATTATTATTATTATTATTATTATTATTATTATTATTATTATTTCCTTTGATTCCTGTTATATACATATTTTCTTCCGGGTTTCAACCAGAGACCTAAGTTCAGAAATGGCTTCATCACAGTTTCCACTGATTATTTTTGTAAAAAAACCCAAAGAAACCTAAGATCACACACACATTTTACTTAGATAAGGCTCCCTGTAATGTATGACGTGAGTACAATTTTGTGTATTTGTTTAAGGTATGGTCTACTAGGAATTCCTTCAATGTGTCTATCGAAAAGTTTTCCAATCAATCCGAATTTTCCAACTACAACTGGAATTATTGATGTCCTCATGTGCCACATTTTTTTAGATTTCCACTTCAACATCCTTGTATTTTGATAGTTTTTGAAGATCTTCAAAGATATTTTACAATCACCAGGGACTGTCGTCATTAAGAAGGTACATTCTGTTTTTGGGGTCTTTGGTTATTATTATTATTATTATTATTATTATTATTACTTCATAACAGAATGATCTGGACGTCAACAATGTGACTGCAAATTTGCTCAAATTTTTGCCGCCTTTTCTCAGCCATGTTGTTGTCTGAATTGTTTAAATTTCATTAGTTCAGCATATCAATCGCATAAGCTTCGACAATTTTATCAGTTCTCCGAGACTCATAAGCACCACCAACATTATCATTATCTTTACTATTATCGTCTATAAATATAGCTGTTAAACTTTCAACATTATCACATCACATAAAGTTAAGTTTATCTTAAAAATGGAAAGGCGGTAATAATAATAATAATAATAATAATAATAATAATAATAATAATAATAATTCATATTGATGGACACTCAGGCATATAAAAACTAATAGACCAGACACAATGATTAAAGACAATAAACGAAAAAAAAAATTACCTTCTCATAGGTATTCCATTGTTATCAGCTAAGAATATATATGTTAAAGAATATGAAAAAATTAGTATATATAAGGACCTTGAAATTGAAAAATGGGGCAGGTTAAAATTAATATATATATATATATATATATATATATGATAATTGAAAAAAAAAAAGTCGGTCTACACGTATGCACAGGACAAGATCCCTGGTAGCTCTTGTTTACAAGAGGTACAAAATAACTTCTCAGTAGAGTATTATCAGTGAAAAGACAACATAAACACCGTGGTTGTTAAATATCGCTTAACATCGGAATTTGTCTCGTGTTATAAGATAAGAGACTGAATTGAGTTGAAAGTAAAGGAAAATAATAATAATAATAATAATAATAATAATAATAATAATAATAATAATAGTTAAGAGAAGATATATAAGTCTACAAAAAATGATAAGTTTTGTACAAACGTTACTTGTATTGTAATGAAAAAACGGCTGTGTGGTAATCCATAAGATTTATACTAGAATAACAGGAGAGCTCAATAAGATTTTTACTAAGCTATCCTCTTAGTAACTAATCAACTAGCTGAAAATACCAAAATGAACAAGATCGCCATCATATTAAGCATGTTTTAATTGCATGCCTTCATGCGGATGGCGTTTCATTCATTTTGACGCGTTCATTACCTGGGTTGCCGTTTTTTCATTACAAGACAAGCAACGTTTGTACAAAGACTTACAAGTTTTTGTAGATTTATATATTCTTATACTTGAAATTTTTGAAAAATATAACTTGAAGAAGAGAGACATTCTGCTGAAAGGTTGTTTAATATTGTCAAACACTGTGTTTTTTCTTTATCTTTTCATTACTCACGCTCTTTTCTTAAGCGTTAAAAAATATTGGAAGAATGACGTCAATCATTTTTTTAATAATGATAATGATAACAAAAATATGTTCAACGTCTATATTTTTGAAAAATATAACCTGATAAAAACAGACATTCTGTTGAAATATTGTTTAACATTGTCAAAAACTGTGTTTTTTTTCTTTATCTTTTCTTAAATAACGCTCTTCTCTTAACTGCTGTAATAACAACAACAACAACAACAACAATAATAACGATAATAATAATAATAATATTAAAGACCACAAACAAAAAAGTGTCTCCTTATTGATATGGCAGTCCCTACTGACTGCAATGTATCTTTGAAGATATTCAAAAAGCTGTCAAAATACAAGGACCTTGAAATAGAAATCTCGAAAATGCGGCATATGGGAACATCAACAATCCCTGTTGTAGTTGAATCCCTAGGATTGGTTGGAAAAGATTGCAGTAGACTAATTGAAGGGATTCCTGGAAGTCCATGCCTCAAGGAGATACAAAACATTGTTCTGACAAGTACAGTCCACACTTTATCTATGTAATATTTTTTTTTCAGTGGAAAGTGTCATGATGCCATTTCTAACCTTAGGTCCCTGGGCGGGACCCGGAAAGAAATGTGTACACGCCAGAAATCAAAGAAAATAAAATAATAATAATAATAATAATAATAATAATACAATAACCATGGAATGGAAATAGAAGAAAATGTAGCATTTAAGAAGTAAAATTGTTCCTGTTGTGGTTGGAGCCTTGGGTTTGATAAAGAAAGGAACTCAAGGACAAGGTCCCTGGTGCAGGAAATCTGAAAAAATAGCTCTAAAAAGCACGGCTTAGATCATGCGTAGTGCTTTTTTAATTTAATTTTTTTTTCTTTTACTAGCTGTCTTTTGTATAATTAAGTAGAAACAAAAATAAATAAATAATTAAATAAAAAAAATCATATCCTTCGCTTACCCTGCGTCATTGGTTATGACCCGGCACGTGATTTATTAAATAATTGCAGTTAATAGTACTACTCTTAGTAAAATAATTCAACAAACGTTTAAAATATAAAAACTTGGGAATAGAACTGGGACATTTAAAAACAATCATTATCCGATAATAATTGGAGCACTGGGAATAAATAAAAATTCCGTTCACATACCCAGAAAAATTATCTCACAGTAATAAGCTCAATAACTTTCTAAGAAAAACTTGCTTTTACTTCAAGTCTCAAATAAAAATGTTGGTAAAGGATTTTATGAAACAGAAAGTCAGAAAAGCTAGAATTAATAATAATAATAATAATAATAATAATAATAATAAATTGCAAGAAATTGGTATGAACACCACCCAGACCGTGTTACAGAGATAGGACCTGTAACAATTTTAGGGGACTTGGGACAATAGACACAGACAGAACAATTAAAGCTAATCGCGCAGATATCGTGATTAGAGAACGCAAAGGCAAAATGCACCTCCTTACTGATATTGCAGTCCCTGCAGACTGCAATGTATCTAAAGATCTTAAAAAAAAAAAAGAAACTATTAAAATACAAGGACCTTGAAATCGAAATGCCAAAAGTCTGGCACATGAGGACATCAAAAATTCCAGTTATAGTCGGAACCCTCGGATTGATCGGAAAAGATTTCAAGAGATTCATTTAAGGAATCCCTAGTAAGCCATGCCTTAAAGAAAAACAAAAATTGTACTCACAAGTACATCCCACACCTTACGTAGTACTTTATTTATGCAAAATATGTGTGTTTATTTTGTTTTTTGTTTTTTTTCAAAATTGCTCAGCTGAAAATGTCATGATGCCATTTCTAACCTTAGGTCTCTGGTCGGGACCCGGAAAGAAATGAGTACACACCAGAAATCAAAGGAAATAAAATAATAATAATAATAATAATAATATTAATTTACGTAAAATGTGTGTGATCTTAAGTCTTTTTTTTTTGTTTGTTTCTTTTTTTTTTATAATAATGATCTGTGGAAAATGTCATGAAGTCATTTCTGACCTTAGGTCTCTAGTTGGGACCCGGAAAGAAATGTGTATACAACAAAAATCAGATAATAATAATAATAATGAGTAGTGATAGGAGCCCTGGATTCAATTCCACTGAACTTTAAAGAAGATGTCGAACAATTTGGTGTGAAATATACTTTTCGAAAACTAAAAAATCTGCGTTATTCGGTACAGTAAGCAGACTTCGAAAAATACTGTGTGTCTGA